AACACACCATTTCTTGCTAAAGCAACATCTGGGTAAGCCTGCTTGATCATATCAAACGTCTCTGTCGCAGATTTACCGAGTTTCACACAGAATTTAATCGCGTACCTCACAGAAAAGCCTGTTCTGACTCTCCAGGTGCTCGGAGACAATTCACCAGCCGCTCGTTCGTTAGCTAGGAATGCCCTCTACCGAATCCAGTCGGTGCGCGCACGCTCCGAAGTACAGTCGCGGCGGAAGGAAATCAGTCCTATTATTTTCCGGACAAACCCTGTACGTAAGTTAATTAAAAGATAGAAAAAATGTATAAGGGTAGCAGGTGAGTATATGTAAAAGGAAAAATAAATTCATATTTTTACTTCTACTTCTTACTCCCTATTCCGCGAAATTAAAACCACCCCCTCGTATACACCCGGTTGTCTTCCAGTTACTCCCTATTGAACCCGCGGTTACATATCTTAAGCGCCCTCAGAATTGGTGAACTTATTTGTCTTTGAAACAAACGGCATACTATTTTTGCAAAGAAGGTGCTTAAAGGCGATAAAATTACTTTGTAAGTGATAAAAATTTATGGGCGGCTACTTGTTGAAAGCTTTTCGGAACAAATACAGGCAACGTTATTTAAATCGTATGCTTCAGTAACTTGTACCTTATAAATTTGGTTTTAAAAATTGCCTTTTTCTAAAGATTACCTACTCACATAAAATGATATTAACTGACGAGCTTCTCCGGAATGTTTTCGTTTCGCTTTATACTTATTTTCAACAAGAAAGCTACAGTAGCTATTTGAATTTCATTTTCCTTCACCTTTGCGTTTTCCGGTACTTGATTTTCAAAGGATAGCCAAAAGCTGACTTTACGTGTTACTAATCAGAACAAGGTTTTTATAAAATGAACCAAAGGTGAATTAAATGAAATTTGCATTTCTGTGTTAATATTAGTCTTCCCCTTTGATCTTGTTTGTGCACGAAAACCTTTATATTATTGCTCACCTTTTACGACTGCCCTTTTATCTTTTATCAGCAAATGCAATACCAAATTTTCTAGTTGTTAGTAGAAATTCTTCTTTTTGATAAGAAATTGTATAATATAATTACTTCATGCTGAATTAACCATAGCTCTCAACTGATGAGAGGTAATCTTTGGAATTCCAAGTTAAATTTTTAGAATACTTTTTCGAAATGAAACTTGTTTACGCGCGGTAGGGTTCGTTACATGCGAGTTGCTATGTATCGAAATCATGCAACGGATGTCTCGTAGTGGGGATCGCTTGAGCCGTGAGGCAACTCCGGCATGTACAGTGTAAAATTTAAATTTATAGTGTACAAATAATACCATTAAACCAATTCCTTAACTCCTATCCCGGTATGTTTGTGTATTTGAAGAAGTTTTACTTCAGTAGCGTGTTGTATAATTACACGTTGTACTTTTTTTTTAAAGAAGTGCGACTTAAAATAAAAGTTAACAAGGAAACGCATTTCGAGAAAGCTGCTAGTCTGTCTGAACTGTCTACAATTTTATAGCCTCTAGCTGAAACAGTAATTTTTAGAAAAAAAGTTAAGAAATACTTTTTGTCAGATTGCTGAGTAGGTACTGTAATTTTTTTTATAAAGGTTTTTCTCCCTACAACTGCCCAGACAGTAATTTCGAGCTCATAGCTTGCACCCCGAATACTTCCTGGCTCGCGGTAGGGTTCTTTTTTTAAGAAAAACACACCAAACTCTAATGATGGCGTCCTCTGGGGTAAAAGCACTCCGGACGTAAACCAGTCCCCCGTTCGGATGTCTAAACGGGGACTACCTCGGAGGATGTCATCAATAAATGCAATAGGGGAAGGTGCAATATAAGGTAAGTAGGGAAATTAGAGTATTTCAAAGTTGAAATGAATAGGCTAGATTTAGATATAGTAGGCATGGAGTGGAGACTTTAAAATAATGCATAGGTACAGGGTCGGTGGATGGTAATTCGGGGGTAGAAATTGTAATGTGTAGGAAAGCAGGGCAGAGTGTAGAAGATTATTTACAAAAAGCCGATAGGATAGTTATGGTTAAATTAAACTCGACGGTAAAAACGGTAATAGTGCAGGTCTACATGTCTACATCATCTTACAATGATATGAAGACGTAGAAGCGGTTTATGCAGATATAGAAGACGTGTTAAGTTTAGTGGAAGGGTAAAAAAACCTAATAGTTGTAGGAAATTTCAACGCTGTAATAGGTGAAAGTAAAGTGGGTGCAATAGCAGGTTCTTTTGGATTTCGCAATAGAAATGATAGGGGAGGTAGGCTGATAGAATTTTGCGATAAACATAACTTAACCGTCGCCAATACTTTATTCAACCATCACGTTAGGAGGCGCTATACGTGGAGAATGCCAGGTGATTCAGGGAGATATCAGTTAGATTACATACTTGTTAGGCAAAGATTTAAAAATCAAGTGAAGGACTGTAGGAGTTATCTAGGAGCAGACATAAATAGCGATTATAACGTAGTACTTATGAAGATTAATCTTGAATTGAAAATTCTGAAAAAGAGGGAAGGTAGGAGACGTCTTGAGTTAGAAAAGTTAAAATGTAGCGAAACGCGGAATAGGCTCGGTTCAAGGACAGACGAATTACTAGGGGAGGCAGGAGAAACGAATGACAGGGACATAGAGACAGAATGGAACTGCATTAAAACGTGCTTCAAGTCAGCAGTTACAGATGTATTAGGTCTTACACAAAACGAAAGTAGGAAACCCTGGATAACAAACGAGATTTCAGGATTAATAGAAGAAAGGGAGAACTACAAAAACAGGACAGACGATGAAGGGCAAAAAAGATATAAAGCTATAAAGTGGGAAATAATTAGGAAGTGTAGAGTAGTTACGGAACAGTGGATTGATATGAAGTGTAAAGAAGTAGAAGAAAAGTTTGAAGTAAGTAAAACGGATGAGGCTTATACGATAATTAAAAGAATTTCAGAGAAGTAGCATAGGTACCGTAGTAATAATATAACAAACGAGGTGGGGGTCATTTTAATAAAAAATGAGGAAAAGGGAGACAGGTGGAAAGAATACTTAGAGAACCTAAGCGCAGGTCATGAGTTTAGGAGATGTATTAAAAAAGGAAGATAGTGTGGAGATAGATGAACTAGGTTATCCCATAATGAGAGAAGAGTTCGATGTAGCATTAAAACTTAAAGAATAATAAGGCACCGGGTATAGATGGGATGGGGAAATTTTAAAACATGCAGGACAAGAGGTTAGAGATCGTATATGTTTAAGCTAGTTAGTCATATTTCCGAGACGGGGAAAGTCTCGGCGGATTATAAACGGAACGTGGTAGTAACAATTAGCTTAACTTCCCGTGCATCAAAAATCTTAACTAGAATTGTACAGAGAAGGATGGAAAAAAGGGCGGAAGAACTATTAGGGGAAGATCAATTTGGATTTATAAGAAATAGGTCTTGAGGCAGGCAAATAGACAGACAGGCAACCAAGTGATCCTATAAGGGTTGCTGTTCCCTTTTGAGCTACGGAATTTTAAAAACTAGCTTCACTCCTCCAGAAATAATCGGATGGTACTGTAATCGATGATGCATAATCTGATTTACCGTCAGCGGATGTTTATCCGCGGCCACCACCATATTCTCTGTATGACCTTACGACTAAATTTAAATAGGTTTTATAAAACAAACGATCTGTGATTTTTAATTACAAATGTCCATTAAATGTCAGCATACTGAACGTCGAAGGAAGGTGCATTAATTTCACAAGACACTCACGAACACCAGTGTATATAATTAGACGTTTCCAGAAAGTACATTATATACAAATTTTATTTACATGTGAATTAGTAACTACTAAATGACGGATTACAGCTACAGACACGACGAAGAAAATATGAATTAAAAACGTAAGTTTTAACAAGAAGAAGAACAAAACGTAACTCCAAATTATGTGACAAATTGATGAATTGTTCTGGTGCCACCACCAGTACCTGGTATGCAACAAAAGAATACGAGCCAGAAGCCAATAAGGGGAAAACCCCAACAAGGAATGATTCTGCCTCGAGCTATAAAATTCCTGTAACCTGCATATAAATGAAGAGCATCGATAATGAAATTAAACCGAGCGGCATGGCCTAGAGGTCTAGACCATTGCTTAGCATTCGGGAGGACGCCGGTTCGATTCCGGGTCCGTCTGCCTTGGTCCAAGTTTTTCTGTGGTTTCCTTGGATCACTTAGGCAAATGCTGAGGCAGTAATATTCCACAGATAATCTTTCACTCTCTTCTGTCTTCATTTCGTCCGTCTCATCTTTCTCACCCGAACCACCACCCACCCATTCCCACGATTCCTGAAAGCAGGCTGAAGAGGGCCTTCCGCCCTACCTTCCGGCATAGTCCGGAGGGACTGCCCGCCCACCAGCATTACTGGCTGGTGGGAATGAAACACCCAAAAGTTTTTTAGTTTTTTTTAATGAAATTAAGAAAGGTGGTTGCCGTCGAAAACCATTGCAGAAACTGGCCATTGAGACCAAATCGGCCCATTATTGTTTGCAAAAGAATTTTCAAGATATATTTGACTATCTTCTATGGATTTGAAATTATGGAAATTTCCAATGCAATAAAATAAAATAGGTTGAATAATTATAAGCAAATCTATTTATAACGACTAAAAAGGAATATTAAAATTAAACTGAAACATTACCTTTCAACAAACAATAATTAATGAAAATACCACAAATGGCGCTAAAACGTTTCAGTAAGTAGATAACCTTGTTGGAGCATACGTAATCCTAAAATGTAGCATCGTACTACAGATGGCGTTTACCGCGCCATTTGTGGTATTTTCTAAAACGCGCTGTTAAAACAGCAGGTAAAAGTTGGTCTGTGTTCTGTCGGAGCTGTCTACGACGCGCTGATGATATCCAAAAAGATCGAAATCGCGATCCTCGTCTGGCAGTTCCGACAGAATACAGACCACTTAGAATTATTTTATTTAATAATTAATGAAGTGCTTACCAACATCTTGTTGAGTACTACATCCAGGTTTTGGCGAATCTGAATCTCTTGGGCCTTCTGTCTTATCATCCCGTAAGGGACTAATCGCATCTTCCACCGTCATCACTCCGATATTGTCAGTTTTACCACTACTTTCGGTGTCAATTTGCGCGTTATCGCTATCGCTTTTTGCACTAATTTCGTTCTCGTTAGCCCGGCCGGATGGCGACGGATCTTTAGTTTGATTTTTCGGTTCAGTAGTTTGTTTTGTATTAACACTAGTTTTATCACTGGTTTCTTTGGTGTTGGTGGTCTGCGATTTTCTAGTCGAAGAGGTACCTTCGTTGGTCGAAGTGGGCTGGTTAGGGAGTTTATTTAATTCGGAACTTGAAGAGGGTTCTTTGGTCGAAATTCCTGAAGAGGGTGGCGATAGAGGGGAAACTACGAACTCGGGGTCTTGACGCGCTGCTAAGTTGATGGCAGAGTGTTCCTCTACCATTCTGCGAAGTTTTGCCTATAATTAAATAAAATATTGTATTTTTCAATTGCCTAAAAGAAATTCAGATAAATTGAATACTTTTATTTGTCAATTTGTTGAAATATGAGACGTAATTCTGTAATAGTAAACTTGAAAAAGTTAGAGTGTAGCAGAACAATAATTGCAGTTTTAAATAAAAATTAGAAACACAAACTATGTTGCTTATTTGAACAAACTGTATCATGAACTTTCACCGCGTAAATTCCAACACTATTTCACTTTTATTTGTATTTATAATTATCTTCTTTAAACAATAACTATATGATATAAAAATGTAATTTCAATTAGGCCATACATACGCACAACGCCGATAATATAATCACAAACAACGAACTACGCATTATGTTTTATGTATCTACCGTATCCATATGTGAAACAGCTAAAAACTACCAAATGTACTGGGCCATTACAACAACAACATGTAGGCAACCCACTATACGCGAAAGAGAATTAAGGGTTCCGTATAGTGGGTTGCCGAGATTGTATTGTTGTGACAAAGAAGGCCAGAATTCTGGAAAGGAATCTTTCAAGAACAAATCCAGCTCCTATAATTAGATACTGCGAGGTTGAAACAGAGAAATTAGTATTCAATTAATCATGATTTTTAAAAAATTGAGCTTAAACGGTTTAGGCAGTCAGCTTCTTAGAAAAGGATGCATGATCAGGCTAGTGAAGTAACTACGGAAAGTGCAAGAATAATTCAGATTAAAGACCTAGGTACAACACGTTGGGCATCATGAATGAAAGATGTGGAAGCAATAATATGAATGTTTGAATGTATCATTAATTGCATTGAGCATAGAGGATGAAATTAGAAAAAATTGGAGCTTCTGGAGAGCAACTAATAAATACTAGAACCATAAAATGGTTCGATTTGATTCTGACTCAAAAGACGGCATTGAAGAAATTGAAACACTTGAGAATGACCGAAAAATGGTCTATCTTATTGACAAAAAACGAAAAATCATAAAAATGTTTGACGAAAAAACTGCTAATTTACATGAAAAAGAACTACAGTTATTACGAAGTTTTGGATACAATGAGTAACGAACTGTAAGAATTCGCGGAAATATTTCGAGAAAAAAGCGACGTTTTCTGTTTTCTAGTGACTAAGAATTTGGGAAATATATAGGAGAAGCTGATTTGTAAACCAATGTTACCACTTTAATGAAGAAAAGCCCTGATCTAATCAGTTCTACTAACATGTATTTCTCAGAAAACTCGAACGACAATCCGTTACAGTATTTAAAGTGCATGACTGCAAATAACATGATGGATCATTTTCCCGAGTGCTGCAGTTTATATATTTTGTTTTTAACTTTGTCTGCAGGTTCAACTAGTGTTGAATGTGTAATGAGTTCCTTGGAAATTGTTAGGCTCTTAGTTGAACACACCTCACTATTTCTTGTTATATCCTTTGCATTGAAAGATCACTCTATATGGATTCTGCAATTCCGTAAGTACTGGACAATAAGTGAGTCGAGGATTCAAAGTTACATGATTCAGTGTTTCTGTATTCAATAGTAAAACTTTTGAATTCACAACTGCACAGTTTTCGTAAATGTACGAGGCCTGTTCAAAAAGTATTGCGAATTTTGTGTTTTATTAAAAATTATTTATTTATTCGTGAATATCTATTTTGTTCCCTTCAAGGTAACCTTCACCAGATATTGTATACTTGTGCCAACGTTTTTTCCAATCATCGAAGCACTTCAAAAAATGATTTTTCTGTTACGAAAAAGCGTTACGGCCGCGTGGAGGGGGTAGACGGTATATCGCGTGGTAAGAGACGGCAGCCGCGGAGGAACTGAAAGGCTGGCGGCAGCGGAGAGAGGGTAACGGTTATATTAGATGGATATAATGCGCACTAGCGCGAAGAGCGGGGAGTCCGCTAGAGTCCCGTCGGCGTGTGCTGTGCTCAGCTGTTGTTTTATTACCTCTTCTCTGCATGTGGCTGGGCATCGTTGCCTTTATTTGCGGTCTGTGTAAAAACCAAATCATAATTTGCAGTAAACCTGTGAAAACGAAATATGTGCTGGGACACATAGTAGAAGTGAAACTTCAATGGACACATAGAAAACGAAAGTTTTAAGAGCAGATTGTTAATATACTTATTCAATTTGAAAACCTGCCTGTAAAACTCCAAGTAAAAATTTTGTCCGGTTTTCAAATTGGACAAGTACATTAACAATCAGCCTGCAAAACTTGAAGTAAAAAAGAACAAATTTGTTGTGATTTGGTTTTTCACTTGTCCGTTGCCATTCGTTTTCCATTTGTCCGTTGAAGTTTCACTTCTACTATGTGTCCCAGCACACATTTCGTTTTTGTGATCTTGTTGAGCTCCTCCTTCGATGCCGTCTTTATCTTCTTAATCGTAGCGTAGCGTCCTCCTTTCATGAACCTCTTTAGTTTCGGAAACAAGAAAAAGTCACAAGGGGGCAGATCTGGGGAATACGGTGACTGGGGCATTATTAGTGTTTTTGTTTTTGGTCAAAAATTCGCGCACAAGCAACGATGCGTGAGCAGTTTCGTTATCATGGTGCAAAAGCTGATTTTTGTTCTTCCATAAATCCTGGCATTTCTGGCGGATTGCTTCGCACAAATTGCGCATAACTTGCAGGTAATATTCCCTACTAACCTTTCTACCCTGTGATTTGACGTGCTTTGGGATGTTTGAGCTTTGGTTTCCACGATATAACCATAAACCCACGATTCGTCACCAGTTATGACCCTCTGAAGCAAATTTGGGTTGTCGCAGATAGAGTCCAGCAGCTCCTTAGCAATGCCAATGCGATGCTGTTTTTGTTCGGGAGAACGAGAACGTCTATATGCTCTGATGTCTGGTAGCGTTCCGGAGTCCGAACCCTGGAACGCTGTCATTGCTAAATGTGAGACAGTGACGCTTCTGTCACTCTGACATATTCACTTGTTGTGAAATCACAGTCCACCAATATTGATCGTTTTGTTGCAATGAGTTCGTCAGTATATGGATTGTGAGCTGAAGTAATTGCAAGACACAAAATTTATCAAATATCATTAAGTAACTCAATTACTTTTAATCAAGTGTCGTCCTATTGAAACGTCTATGCTGCAGTTGATTCGATAAACATTTCTTGAAAGTAATTTCATTAAGCGAACAATTTCACATTCGAATCGGACTTCTCAGTTTGGGAAATTGGTAAAACTTTTCCAAAGTCGTTTTCTTTATTCTTGTGCTCGGACCGGCAAAAAGTTGCGGCTATTGTGTAGGTAATAATCGTTTAATCGTTCCAATTACGATTTAGTGCCAGTTCGAGGGCCACCAATTCACTTAATGGAATCTGACTTTGAGGTCAGTGTAAACACAGATGGAAACACATATTAAGCTACGTAGCCGTAGCGGCCTGGAGTTTGTTGACAGACGCTGTCCGTTGAATTATTACGCATTATGTTAACATTAGCAACATGAGAATCGCGTTACTTTAAGTGAGGGGTAATTAAAACCAATGCGACAATTATTTATATTGCGTAGGTACAGAAAAACCTTTAATAAGATTGATTTATGTTATCATGCAAGTTTACATGTTTCGTTTAATTGAACAAAATATAGTAAATAGCACTAACAAATTTTCAATTACTCTGTTTATTTGTATGTATATGTTGCCGGAAATGTATGAAATCCATCATTGTATATAATTCCTGAAGTCGCCCGGAAATGTGTGAAATAAATTACATCAGCCACATTTCCTAGGAAATCTATACATTTCCTAAATAGCAATCGGAAATGTATTACAAGTAGTACTAAGTAGGCAATAATACGGCAGGCTGTTTGGAGATGTACCTATATCCATTGATAACGTCATTGTTTGATTAGGGAGATTTATGACTGGAGTTTCTTTAATGCCCCTGCACATCCTAGCCGGGCTTATATGTCAGATGTTAGAATCAGGTGACGAGGTTATCTTTGTTTCAGCAAACACGATGATCTTGAATTTTTAGTATGTTGTAGAGGTAATAATGTTGATCATTTTCATAAATATATATTGGGCATGGAGAAAACTAAATTTTTATAAAAACGCAAAAATTACAATTTTCGATTATAAATGACTGAATTTGCCGTAGAAGTATAGTACTTAGAATTCATTAAGTAATTTGTATATCAGTTTTGACATGTTTCTTTAAAAATTATTTCAAGTTTCTTAATTATTACAATTCAATTTGTGATATCAACTAAANATTCTAGAGTTCTCAATAGTTTTTGCACAGTGTCCTGTAAAATGAAATTGTGCAAAATTTGAAGATTTTAAAAAATTTGCTTATTTTTCATTTGAGAAGCTACACGTAGCCTCTAGAATTTCGACTCAACAAAATATTTACCGGGTTATAGTCCTATAAAATCTGAACTCGTATGAATCACGGGTTGTTATTACAGTTCTACTAGAACTAAACTAATTCCTTAACCCCTATCCCGGTATGTTTGTGTGTTTCAAGAAGTTTCACTTCAGTAGCGTGTTGTATAATTACACGTTGTACTTTTTTTTTAAAGAAGTGCGACTTAAAATAAAAGTTAACAAGGAAACGCATTTCGAGAAAGCTGCTAGTCTGTCTGAACTGTCTACAATTTTATAGCCTCTAGCTGAAACAGTAATTTTTAGAAAAAAAGTTAAGAAATACTTTTTGTCAGATTGCTGAGTAGGTACTGTAATTTTTTTTATAAAGGTTTTTCTCCCTACAACTGCCCAGACAGTAATTTCGAGCTCATAGCTTGCACCCCGAATACTTCCTGGCTCGCGGTAGGGTTCTTTTTTTAAGAAAAACACACCAAACTCTAATGATGGCGTCCTCTGGGGTAAAAGCACTCCGGACGTAAACCAGTCCCCCGTTCGGATGTCTAAACGGGGACTACCTCGGAGGATGTCATCAATAAATGCAATAGGGGAAGGTGCAATATAAGGTAAGTAGGGAAATTAGAGTATTTCAAAGTTGAAATGAATAGG